AAGTTTTATTTGTCTGTATATATCATGTTTACATTGACCAGCGGACTAAGTCTAGGCTGGTTAAGTTCATCATTTTTTTTTTTTGCTGTCTCAAAACCTATCTGGATATATGAAGGGACATTCTTGCTCTACGGCCATTCTAAAAATGACTGAAGACTGGCGTGCCCATTTAGACCTAAAGGAAACTGTCGTGACTGTTGCAGTAGATCTAAGCAAAGCATTTGACAGTGTCAACCATAATCTTCTTTTGGCTAAATTACAAGCTTACGGATTTTCAACCACGGCCATAAAGCTTCTTCACGAATATCTAAACGATCGTCGTCAGAGGGTAAAAATAGATGGCACTTACTCAGACTGGAGTACAGTAACAGTGAGTGTACCACAAGGATCTCTGCTCGGTCCATTACTGTTTAACATCAACATGAATGACATCAATTACTGTGTGTCCAATATCTCTTTAAGATTGTATGCTGACGATACCACCAGTTTTGCTTCAGAGGCCTCCTCATTAGCGCTTCAGTTCATAGTAAACAATGATTTGTCTACTTTGTCTACATGGCTGGAACAAAATTACCTGTCCATCAATAATACCAAGACGCAGGCGATGATCCTTGGTCCATCAACATATAAGTACGATTTCCAAGTCAATGGCAACGATGTAAAAATCGAACCTACTTTGAGAATTCTTGGCGTCACATTGGATAAAAGGCTTACCTTTAAGGAGCATATCACAGAGCAGATAAAGAAAGTTTATGCAAAGACATCTGCCTTAAAACGAATCTCACGCTTTGTATCCGTGAGCACAATGACTTTATTATACAAATCATTTATAGTTCCACACTTGGAATACTGTAGCATAATACTTATTGGTCTTGGGAAAGTTCAGGACAACAGACTCGAAGATGCTAATTATTATGTTTTAAGAACACTTTTTCAAATCAAGAACGAAAGCTATGAAAGTCTGTTAAAGTTAGTACGTATGGACACTTTAAAACATCGTAGGTATTATCAGGCATTGATCTTGATATATAAATGCCTTAACTCTATTGGTCCACACTATATTAAGGATTTTCTAAATCTAAGAGAAGTTAGTTACAATTTAAGGGGGAAGGGAAGTAATCTGGCTCAACCTCATTTCAACTCTGAATGGATGCATAAGTCGTTCTCCTATATTAGTTATAAGTTGTGGAATAAGCTACCTATTAATGTCAGAAACTGTGGGAGTCTGCAAGAATTCAAGAGGGCTTTAAGAAAATTAAAATTTGAATCGTTATATTAGGCATAGATTTGTAAAATATTTACTTACGTTTTTCTCATTATTATTTAATTAGTAGTTACAATTCATAACATTTCTTCCTTTAATTTAGGTTTATATG